TGAGACTATTTTGTTTAACAACAATTGCAACATTTTAAGTTTAAAACGTTTTTTATATTCCTTTAAGTACTGTATAAGTATACAAACCGAGAACCAGCACCAGTCCTGAACTAAAAGCCTGTAAAATGCCCTGTTTGCGAGGCTGTGATGGGAGGTAGCTGTATTATTTAAATAAGAGCCAGGGGGGAAATGAAGGACATGACTTTAGTTGTCAAATATCACATCTTCATTTTCTCTTTTGATCCTGCCAAGAGAATGTAACTTGGAATTTGCATTGTAATACCTGCTCATAAATGATATACGACAATGAACAATGTTGTGACCCTCTGAACTTGTTTTCCTCTTCGTCAGACCTCCATGTCGTTGTCGTCGGAGCAGCCTCCGCCCTCCACAGCTCTCCTGTCTGCCTCTCAAACACAAGTTTTCCAGCCTGTCTCCAAAGCTCCGCACAGCAGTGGCATCAACGTGAACGCAGCACCATTCCAGTCAATGCAGACAGTAAGGCCCTTGTGATGAGACTTACTGAAAAATCAAACTTACTCAAGAGTTGTTCATGGTATCCAGAAATACAGCTATTTAAAGTATTTTGTGTTTTTAGTGTACTCAAATAGAATGTGTCCTGTCAAGCAGATAGAAATGCATTTCCAGGACTTTGTGCATCACTGCCAGTGGAATAAAATATATCACTAATGACTGTCATTAGGGATGGTTAGTGCAGTCCTTAAGTGTGCTCTCTCATCATATTGCAGTTGTATGGGTTTTAAGTAATGCTGTAAAAATTATCGCGTTAACGGCGGTAATTAATTTTTTGAATTGAATGCATGTGCAGAATGGCCCGCCCCACACATCCCACCAGTGGCAGCGCCAGGGTATGGCTGGGGTAGGCTACACCCATACCAAGAAATGGCTTAGCCCCACCATGAAAAATGATGTTAAAGTAAGCAAAATAAAGTCCGCCAACTCGCGCCTATAATTGCACAGACAGCAGTTAGTAAGATTGATTTCAGTAGCCACTTGTCTGGAAATACCGAAGACTAGAAACGGTTTTGAAAACTTTTGTCACGTAGTGATCGTCTTCTCAATAGAACATCTTTGATAATGTCTTCTGGCCAATCAGAATCAAGATAACGGCGTGGTGTTGTTGCAGGAAGTCCCGACGGAGAATACTTTTGCTGTAGTACAGGGGTGCACATAACTGGTACGCAGGCTATGTGCGTAATCTGAAATGCGTACCGTCACTTGTGTCACAAAGCCCCCCTGCGTACCGACGTACTTGTGAAGCTTTTCCAGAAGGCGGTTAGATCACCGGACGACAGAGTCGGCCTCCGTGTGCACAGACAGGGCTGCTGTTAACGTCGGTCTCTACAACGGAATTGTGCCAAAACTACGCCAACCGGCTGCGGAGGGAGACTTCCCCCCCCTTCACTGGAGAACTGCGCTAAAACAGCTGATCACAACGTTCANAAAAATAATCGTTTTAATGAACTAAAAGCCTGTACAATGCCCTGTTTGCGTTCCCCCCTGGCTCTTATTTAAATAATACAGCTACCTACCATCACAGCCTCGCAAACAGGGCATTGTACAGGCTTTTAGTTCATTAAAACGATTATTTTTTAGTTCAGGACTGGTGCTGGTTCTCGGTTTGTATACTTAGACAGTACTTAAAGGACTATAAAAAACGTTTTAAACTTAAAATGTTGCAATTGTTGTTAAACAAAATAGTCTCAAGTAAGAAAAGTTTCCTTATTGACAATCGGCTCAAATCTGATGAGATACCCATAATTTTAAGAAGGGCTGTCACTCTTCACAGAGCATGGTTTACCTGGATGGGGTCGATGGTATCTGTTGGGGGTCGAGGATCTGGCGTGTGTGAACTCTGATACATGGGGGGCGGAGTTGGGGAAACAATAGGAACCTGGACACAGATATTAAACATTAACACATATTCTCTTTCAAAGCATATTTAGCATGGCTACACAATCAGGGTTTTCCAGGGTTGACTACTTACTTGTGTGGGCTCAGGCTGGACAGGAACAGAGTTGGGTTGCGATAGTCGGGACTCTGGGTGAACTAAGAAGATTTGAGCATTGCACCTTTAGTAAACCAGAAAAGTAATTTCAAGCTTTCAAATGCCATGTTTTTATACAAGATCACCAGAACTGGATTTCTCTTTATAACCATACCTGGAGGACACACCATCTGTGGTAAGTCCATGTTCTGAGCGGGTTTCATGGGCTGTGCTGAGACAATGGCGGGGTCAATGGGCTGTCCGTCAAACTCAAGCATGGAGTCCTGAGAGCAGAGGAGTGATGAGCACCGTGCTTAATGTCTAATGTCTACAGTCAACTGTGTTTACTAGAGCAAAGTAACAAAGTTCCCACCTGCATGAAGTTGTACGTTCCCTGCATCTGTGCCATTAGGTCCTTTACCACCTGCTTCCTGATCAAGGGGTCGTTCGGCGGCACAGGAGACGCTAAATTCAAGGGGTGGGTCTCCATAGCAACAGGTGAAACGGCAGGCTGCATAAGCGGCGGCTGTTGCTGCTGCAGTGCAGCGACTGCCTGAGGGTTTTGGAGACAGAACAGATTAATCAGAAACATACAGGAAAAACAGACAACTTGTATAGTTAGTGCTTAATAGATATTACCTGTGGGTTTAAAGTCAGATCATTAAATAAGATTCAACTTGACTAATATCATAGTTTGTTCATTTAAACTTCAAAGCTGATAATGACATGTAATTGTTATTGCTGCAGATTTATAACCACGATTAATGATTGGTCAATATTGACAGTAATGTAAATGTTGACATTACAATATATACATGAATAGTCATTGAAGTTGGAAAACCTTGCATTTATTGAACTTTAAAGGGATTTCCTTAAACTTTAATCAACTAAAAAGCAAACAAAAGTAGGTGAAAAGAAATAGTTAAAACAAACCACAAAGTAACACAAAATAATAATATATATTTATATATTAAAGAATGCAATCATAGCTGAAATCAGAAGGAAAAAAAAGAATTAAAAAAATCAGCAACACAAGATGAATAAATAAATGTAAATCCCAGAAAGAACCATCCCTGCAGCATACCTCTGTTTCCGTGGCCCACTCGTCCCCCTGCTCCTTCTCACTGCTGCTGTATGTGCCATCGGGAATGAACTGTCTGTTTATGAACTACAGGGGGAAGAAGAAACTATCAGCACAACGCTAGGAAAGAGTAGTAGCCCCGAGACCTGACTGGAAAGGGGGAAATGTATCTCACCTCTGTCGTCTCCACAGCAATGGGCTCTGTGAACTCCTCAATCATTTCTGTTTCTGTGAAGAGAAAAACTATTTAGAGAATGCAGTGCTGATTTGATTACATTAGCATTTCAAAATAGAGTTTAATGCAGCATGACTTCAGAGACTGGTTAGTACCTGGATCAGCAGTCTGCTCTTCTGCTTCTGACGATTCAGCTACGGCTGCTGCTGCTGCCAGCGCTGAAGCTGCTGCTGAGGCTGCCACTTCCTCCTCCTCTTCCTCCTCCTCTTCACATATGCCGTTTTGGTGAGATCGAACCCGGTCAAAGTACCCACTGAGCAGAACCTGGTCCAAAGTCTCTCTCAGAGCCTTGTCTATTAGAGGAATTACATGGTAAGCACATTATTGGAAAGCAATCCACACAACATCAATTAAAAGCAAGCAAGCAACCCTTTGACTGCTGATATGTTTGGCTTAATCCTGATGGATGCACGAATGTTAAGGGAAATCACTTTTCCCGCAAAACAACAATATTGAATGTGAAAACACAAAAACATTTAAATACATGCAAGACAGATTGAAACATATTTTTCAGGGCCAGATCTCCATACTGGAAGAGTCAAAAGATGAACCAAAAAGTCATTTATGATCAAAGAAATCCAGGGCCTAAATGTTCTTAATGGCTGACTAAATCGATAAGAAATACAGGACTGTCTCAGAAAATTAGAATATTGTGATAAAGTTCTTTATTTTCTGTAATGCAATTAAAAAAACAAAAATGTCATACATTCTGGATTCATTACAAATCAACTGAAATATTGCAAGCTCATTTAACGCGTCGAACACAAAAATGGTTCTCTCTAAAAAAATCCTCGTTGACTGTACGAATGGGACAGACGACACCTTTTCGAGAATTACCTCTACCTCCTTAAAGTAAAAGGTCGGTACTAGAACCGTGGACGGGTGTCAACGGGGGGGTTTTGGGTGGTCATTGAACGCACAATGATGGGTAACCGGTAATGACAGAGCCTAACGTCCCGGACCCCGTTTATAAGGGGGGAACTGGGACCTTTGGGTAATCTCTTATACACCACCAATAACCACTTTCTTCGACTAATTCTGTTGGGTCTGGGGGTTGTTACGATTTACTCGGATTTCCGGCGAATTAAACTTTCGTAGGACCCGTAAGGTATTTGTGGAGGTCGTTTACGGTGTCCGAAGAACTGCGAGGTACGTGCCGGCGTAACTACGTCATTAGGCGTTTTCCTAAAGGGTTGGTCAATGACCTCACCGATAAATTACCTGTAAAAGAAAGTTTTACAAACTACACCAAACGACAATATTTAGAAAAAAAAAATGAACCAGACTCCTTGATAAGATGTAAAAAAACTCTATCACCTAAAAAACCTCAAAAGAATTCGACATCGGTATTAGTGTTATAATTTACCTCTATTA